TGCTTTTATGTGTTCAAATGTATTGTTTTCATCAAAGAATGTAATGATATTTAGTTTTGAACCATTTCGAGGTATTTGGAACAGAATTTGGAAATTTCGGAAAAATTAACCAAAATCTTAATTTTTCCTACAATCGATTACCGGTAGGTAATCGCCGCTAAAAATTCTTCTCAGCAAATCAGTGAGCTCCATTTCACCGGAGGTCACGCTTGCCAGATAATAGAATGTAATAATGTATAATAATTATACATTATTACGTACATTTTATTGAAAAATCACCGAAAAATTCCTTGCGCAATTTTGGACCGCTATGCGATAACTCGAAAATTAATAAAGCTACTTGATAAAATTTTTGTTGTTAACTTTAAAGACATTTAGTTCCGGGGTGAACCTAAAATTGTTCCGTTCAGTTTCCGATCACGAAAATTTTTCAGATTATAAAATTTTAAAAGTTTGAAAATTTAGTCATATTTTTTGGATATGTCAATATTTTTGAAAATTTGAAATAATACTTGTGAATTTTGTGAATTTTAATTCTTTAAAAAAAATTTGGTATGTTGAAAATTTCACATATTTCGTATACTTTAAAGATTTCGAAAAATTTTAGAAATTTCCAATTTTTAACAATTCTAAAATTCTCAAAAATACTTTTCTATATGTCAAAATGAAAACAATTTTCAGATTTTAAAATTTTAAAATGGTGATTTTGAAAATTTTTTGGACACACGCTGCAGTTCATATACATTTAAACCAACAGCGAACCAATTATTTATGCGATCCATATGATCATTGCAGATCACAACTTCGGCGATAATCCATTTTTCAAATATTTTGTAAGACTTCGCTATCATAATTGCGTTCGACGAAGGAGAACGCTTCCTAATCGTGACGTCACGGCTGGATGCTATGTCATTTCGAGGTTTTTGGATGTAACATTTGCCTCGGTTTCGTGTTTTTGCGTATGCTCTGATTTCCGGGTTTTGTGCCGTGTCCTAATGTCACGTGCTTTCCGTATTTTGCAATAATACGCTGTTGTTTATAGGACCGGGCATTTGGATTTCATATTCGCCTGTTTATTAAGAAGTTATGGGAATTGTACACTCGATTATTTTGATTTGAAGTGTCTGCAATATGACTGAGAATTCTCGTCAAAGCATCAGGAAGCTATCTTCCGTTTGTTTAACCATGCGAAATCCGGAATTTTATTTGCTCATAAAGTAAACAAACCGCGTTTACTTGATTACTTCTTTGAAGATTCACAGCAGACTTTAATTCGCATTGCCTTAAGATTTAGATCCACATCAAGGATATCTATAGAAGACCACCGAACGCACTTGCTAATCTTTGATTACTTCTAGTATATAGGTGTGTATTCGTGTGACAGAACAAAAAAATTGTATGTGTACAAACTGAAAAGAGTAAATTATAGATTCAGTCAACCTATTTATTTTTCTAGGACAACGCTATATCATATAATAATACAGCATTTCTAATTTTTAAACATTGATTTCAAAATATTTTTATCGCTTGCCTTCATTAGCTTCATATCTAAAAGATACCTTGTCATGACGAGCTCTGTTTTCTGTGTTCTAGATCTCGTACAAAAACAACTCAGACACAGAGTTGGAATGATTTTGGCAAAGTGCGTAACTGTCTAACGCACATGCCGAGCTATTAATTTTTAATCAACAACAAATTAATTATTAATCAACAAACAATAAATTCAATTACCAAGCAATTCGGACAGAAAAGGTGGGGCTAATTTAAACGCGCTCAACCGAATATATTAATATACCCTATACATTAAGCTCGGGTGAGAAAACGGGGAGGAGGGCGGGCTCAAATTAGATCTGTAATGACCTTGTTGAAGCGAGGTCAGAATGAATCGGCAGCACATTCTGCTCTTTATCTATATTGACCCTCATCGATCCGCTCTCCAACGCGTTACCATTACTCGCGCGTCAAACTAAAGTATTTAATCTACTTTAAGTCTCAAGTGCAGGAAGCAATAAATTCTTTATCGGTACGCCAATAATTCCTTTAAACATTTTTATCAAATAACAAAAGCGATTCGTGTTTATTATTAATAATCTATTTTTGCTAATGGTCATGGTATTGAAGTACCATAGTCTATCGCCTGGTGTGTAACAGCTGGTATGTTATGGTTTCTCTCAGTTTAAATATTTAACAGCAAAATGCATGTAACTCTTGATCCTCCGGAAAGGGAAAGGATTAAACTGAACTACTGCTTTTGCTACATTTTTTATCATCCAATCTTCCTAATCCGGTGTAATTTAAATGCAACAACTATCGATGTTAAAATTATAGGGTATTATATCATAAAACAGCCATAAAATTCGATTCTTGATGTGCTCACTCCAGGCTGTATAATTAATATACATAACAACCATAAAATTCAACTCTCATTGAGATATGGTTGTTCCAAGCCGTTGGATGAAGGCGAATGAATCGAGCAAAAATATGAGGAACAACCATCTGGTGGACAATAGTATTCCGGTCGCTATTGCCACGGAATTCCTAAGAAAAGATTATTAGCGCTTTTTAGTTGTTAGAAGATATCCACTGATAAAGCATGATAAATACAGAAACAAAATAAGATAAATAAACCTTTTGACCTGGAAGAGACTTGTGTGCTGTAATAGAAATGTGTCATTATACCATATTTATGATGATATTGTGCTTCGGAAAAAGGGAACAGGTTGAAACCTCCAAATTCATGTGCCAACAAATATGAGGCTTTGAGAAGGTAGAAAGATTGCTGTGTAGCCGGCTTGCTTGCGTTCCTATCAGTTGTCGAGTTAAGGTTGTTGAAATTTTATATCCATGCAGTGGCGTATGAATCATTGATAATTTTGGGGGGGGGGGTTACATAATATTCATAAATATATTTATGTTAACAGACTGTAAAGAAAATCGATTTAAAAGAAATTGCTCATGCGGAACATGAATATATGAATATCCCCCCCCCCCCAATTATCGTGCTTGCTACGCCATTGATTGTATACATATATTGTTTCCCACCGCAACATGGTTGTCTTTTGCATGTAGAGTTTGCATTTTCCCATGCAAGCACATTTTTTTAAGTTCGCTATAGTAGCTTCATTTTAAAGAGAAATGGCAATAAAAATTATTTCTGTTTTGTTGCAAAGAGAATTTACACTTCTTACGCAGCCTTTTTACAAAATTTGTTTATCTTCCTTACTTTGCAAGATATTGACGATCAAAAACATCGACTATCAAGATATTTCCGCCATCTTGTTTTATAATGAGATCTAATTACGTGACGTCAAAGCAGGGTTGACGCTTAAAAAGTAACAATTACATGTTCGAGATACGTGCGATTCTAATGCCATGGAACTATCACTTCGCCGAATCGTTAATTTGAAGTTACAGAACGAATTTTCACCCAGCTTAGACCGTTAGACGTAACGCACTCAGAGCAACAATATGCATATCCAAAATGGCGGATGGAAGATTATTTCATACGAAAATATCTTGAGAAGTAATAAACGGTTAACAAAAATTCGTAAACGACTTTTGTAAATAATCATGACGTTCTTTCATAACAGACAAAGATAATTTTTATGCCGTATCCCTTTAAATGCACACATTCCATACATAATGTGCCTTAATTCAAACACCCTAATCAGAATTAAGCACCACGCCGGTATATCAGTTGCAGGGTACCCGTACTTACTCCAAGGGTCCGCACTTTATCCGTGCTTAGGCTACAAATTTGAAATCCGCGGATAGATTAAATTGGCAGGGGCTATCATCATCCAGCCTTGCATTTCCAATAATATATAATAATATATAATAGCATATAATAATATATAATAATATATAATAATATATAATAATATATAATAATATATAATAATATATAATATTATATAATAATATATAATAATATATATAATAATAGTTAATATATAATAGTTAATATATAATAGTTAATATATAATAATATATAATAGTATAATTTTATGTAACCGTTTACATGTTTTTATTTAATGTTTTAATGTTTTTATTTTCGCATTTAGCTGTAAAACGTAACAAATCATGTCAATAAATTTCAGGGAATAACTTACCTGGGTTACGTTTCACGAAAATAACTATAGACAAATCTTAAATGACAATTTCTTGTTCCAATTTAACGAAAGCCGATATAATTTTTTTGTCGCGGCCGATAAACATTAAATAATGCAAATAAAAGTGACGAGAGTACCTTGATTGCTTTCCCATTCTTATAATTCTGGAAATATATTCCGTCTTTGCTGAATGAGATCGTGTAGCTCTTAACAAATTGATTAGCAACACTGCTGTGGCGTCCTTGGGTACTGATTCCTGTCACCAGAGTAGATCTTTGAAAATCAACCTGAAGCCACTGACTAAGATTATTGTACCGTGATGACCATGCCCCTGATTGACCAGGAGGTGGTATTAAATTCAGTCTTCCATTAGCAACAGGGTGTTTTGTATCCCATTCCCCCGACGCGGTGATCTGCTTGTCAACGAATGCTACCATTCTCCATTCCAAGAGCCATCTCATGCACTGTATTAAAACAGTTGTCGTATTTTGTTTCCGTTTGTCATAATTTCCAGGGATTATAGGAAAAGCGTCATCAGAATTATGGTAAATGAAAACGAATAGAGAAATTGCAACGAGTTTTGCTTTGCATTTTGAAAAGTTTTACCTCTTAGTAATAATTGATAATAAAAATAAGGAGTAGTAAAAATCATCCATGATGATACTTGGGTTGTGGGTATCGCTGCATATTTCTGCTGCTTATGCTTTGACTCGCCGTAAGGGTTCAAAAAAAACGGCATAATGTCAAAACTCATTAGAACATACATTATTAATGACCATTATCTATGAGCTTAGACATGCATTTGCCCTGATATTTCAGCAAGAATGTCGAAATTAAACTTACGGCTCACTACTGGAAAGCGGTTGTCAAGATTTTTAAAACGAGTTGTTATTGAAATATATACCGTTTACTATTATAACACTTTAAACATTTACAGGTGAACTTCTTTTTCGGACCCCAAATCATGGCGCCGCCATTATGACATTCATTCACTTCTTTCCTGCAGGTTGCCTCAGAAATTTGAAATAAAAATAATGTCGAATATTTACATATATAATTGTATTATAAGCTGAGGGGAAATTGTTTACTTCCTGAGTGCGAAAAGGAATATTGATTAGAAATTATTTTTATGCATTTACTCAATGAAAAACATGAGAATTGGCACGCGCTTGTATGAGCAATACGAGAACCGTCTAGAGATCTAAAATTGTTTATTCTTTTTGGCCAAAGTGAATTCCTTCAAAAAATTCATATAATTTATCATATATGCAACACCAATCAAAAATGAATTCGTCTAAACTTTTAATACTTCTACGCGGGTCGACAGATAATAATGTCAAAATTCTCACAAAGTGACTTCTGTCCACGTTAATCTCGTAGAACGTCCACTCTTGCTCTTCCTTGGCAACTTTATCCTCGTCAAATTTATGCTCTGTTGTGTTAGTTAGCTGACAATTCAACTCTTTTTCATCAACTTTCTTCTTGTAATTATATGCGACACAAAAGCGGTGTACAGCGCACTGAAGCTCACAAAATATACTGTTGCTCTCAGAGAATTGAGCAATGACATTTTCTTTTATGCGAGACACCCCTACGAATAAGACAAGACGAAAGACTAAAATAATTATAACTCTATAGTAAATAGGACTACGAGAAAGACAAAAAGATCTATAGGTCTTCGTAGAGTATTTTCGTTTATATACGCTGAAGATACATAAATTTAGAAAAAATTATCTAGTGTAATTTGCCCAAAATTGCAAACGAAGAATCGTCAATGGGGTCTTAGGGTAATGCAGCAGTTTTACAGTTTCATTAACTGCAACATCAGTACATGTACGCCCTATATTTTTTCTTCCACCATTATTTGCCACCATTAATTATTTGCTTCTCTACAATTTAGGGAAGTAACGTTGTTAAAGGACCCATCTAAACCAAATACGATTATTAACCTCGACAGACATTTCACGCGTTTTTCTTTCTGTCTTACATAGAATTTAAAAAGCATTTGCGAGGTTTAAAATGCGAGATATTTAATTCGAATATCTGAACGAGCTGAATTAGATCTTGTGAGGCTTTTGATAGCTGTCATACCACAAAAACTTTTCACTTTAATATATAATGAAACGTTGAATTCGCTGTTTAAAAATTAACTGATATTTTTTTATGAGGCGTTTTTGTATATTTTAATACCGCGTGTAGCTACAAGGATTGCCAGCAATTCAGCAACGAATTAAGAATTGAGCAACAAATGTACAAACGAATTAGTAGATGCACTGCATGCATATAATATCATAGTTACGCTTTGACTTACCTTGAAACATTGCAGGATTCTCTGATGCAATAAACAAAAAAAATTGCAATAAAATACAAGATTGGAATAACATCGCTCGTTTATAAGACAATACAAGATTGGATTATCAACGTCAAGAAAGGTCTCGAATCATTAATTTATATCAACTGAAAATTAACAATATAAGCACAGAAGGGGAGTTTCTCTTCTCCAGGGAGCCTTCATTTAAAACGTGTCGTAAATTGCTTGTGTTATAATTGTTATGCAGAATATTAAAAGGCATATGCAGGTATACACATTGTCGTCAACGGCTGCATGAGTGCGTGGCTCGTTGTTTTAAAAAACTGACGAATCATAATTTTACAACTATACAAATACATCTATCAGTATAACTGAATTATACATGATCATCTCGTACAAATTCGGTATGCGATATATTATTTATTATAACGATCTTTGTGTCAAATTAAAATCTATTCAACTTATCGTTTATAATAGCTAGTATTATGCCTCTAAAAAGTTTGAAAATTTGCATAAATTATAATGCTTTAATTACTTATATACACGCGTTTTTCTCACAAACACCGTAGGTTGAAATCTAAAGCTTGTATGTAATAATATAATAATTACATATATATATAAATATTATATATATATATTATATATATATATAATATATATTATAAATTATATATATAATATATATATATATATATATATATATATTATATAATAATATATATATATATATATACACCCATTTGCAAAAACGTTGGCCGCAGATAGATATATAGATAGATACCCGGAATCTAATTAAAATTGCATATGTGGTGTAATATGATTGAAATCCTATGCAAATGTAATCATATGCAATTCTAATTAGACTTCGAGTATCTATCTATCTATCTATCAGCGGCCAACGTTTTTGCAAATGGGTGTATATATTTATATATATGCTATTTACCGAAATTTTCGCGAGAGCAAACGCCGAGGGACGTTTTCGTGACCGAGGGAAATATTTCCCTATATGCATCGACCAAACTTTAAATAATCTATTTACTTTTTTCATTTAATTCTCCCCAAGACCTGAGGGAATTGACGCCAAGTAAGGAAGATTGATCATGACAAGTTCATTTCAAGCGCGAATAAAACGAATACAATTATATTTAAGCAATATTCAAAAATCAAGAGAACAAATTCGTTTTTAAGATGTATAAATTAGTTTATTATAAAGCAGGAAAACGTCAAAAAAGTTCGATATTCACTGTCATCGCTGAGGATTTAAATTTCGCGCGGTCCGTACGGCCTCATACGCGACCGCTCTCGGAGCCAAACAGATTGCAGGAAAACGCAAATTATTATTTCGAACTGCCAAGAAAAAATTATTATTATTCCTATACGGAACGACCAACCGGTAATTAATCTATTTACTTTTCTCATGCATTTAGTTCTCTCATATTTTATTCTTCCTATATTTTAAACGTGTTGTTGACGCGGAAGATTGTTCAGATACGACTCGGATTAGCAGAATTGACAAAACGTTATAACTGAGCCTTGTTTTATATCAGAAGTTCCATTTCCGGATCACTAATCATATGTTGTTGCCATGCAAGTTTAACTATCACGATCATGATTGATGCTGCATGCAGGTGCAAGCTCTAATTAATGTCAATCTATACAATTATGTCAAAGATACAAATTTCGTTTATACAAAAGCCCAGCCAGTGGTTGAACGCCTGCTTTGATGAGTTCATGTTTGGATCAAACGTGAATTCCTTTTTTTCAGTAAAATCATTCTAAAAAGTGCCTTAACACAAGAATTATTTTATTTTCAATGTATTCATAAAGTCAGAGTACCTGTAAACAATTAACAGTTCTAATTAGGAACCTAAGTCGTCTATTCGACTGTATTTACAGAGAATAGTAATTCTATAATGAACCATGCACTTATTTAAAGGTATTGTTATAATAATCATATATACTTAACTTGAACTACGAAACTTCTTCAAAATATAATTTTGTAATAACGCAATTAACTCAAACCACTAAACTACTTCACGCTATATCTATTTAATTTTATACTCACATGACACAATGGATTCAAATCACTCACGTCGAGTAAAATTAGATCAAATCGTCAATACGGTTCCGTCAGTTAGATTTTCACTTATATACGCTAGCGTAAAGGCCGGTTTACACTCGCCATTTTTTGCTTGCGATAGATATGAACGAGTGAATTAGTTAAGCATGTTCAAATAAGAGCTCGTACACCTCAGAGCATTCGTAACTTATTAATGGTTCACATCTATCAGAAGAAAATCGCAGCAAAAATTGCAAGTGTATAAACGGGCCCATGGAAATTCGACGTCTGATATGCATGGGCTTTATCCCAATAGAAAATACAAATCCTCTACTAAATTCCTTGTCCACAGGTCTTTTTTCAACGAATTTTCGTTTTAAACGATTTGAACGAATTCCAACGAAGTTAATGCAAATCCGTAAGAAACTGTTAAACTTAGCTTTGTAAACATTTATCAAGATTTTACAGATGTACTTATACATATAATTTTGAGTAACATGAATTATTCAGTGCGGTTCTATTTACCTAATAATAAAAATAAAATCGTAGGTGTACTTACAAAATAACTGGCCTCGTTACTTGGAAATTCAAGGGCATACTATTAGACAAACTTGACTGATGCACATGCCTATGAAAGTCGTCTGAACTTGGCCATTCTTTTACGCCGGTTTACACTTTCAATATCTCTTGCGGATTTAAGTGCGATGGTCTTCTTTTGGTAGATATGAATGAGTTATAAGTTTGCAATGCAGTGATGTATAAGAGTTCTTATTTGAACATCCGTAACTCATTTACTCGTTCACATCTTTCAAAAGCAGAAAATCGCAAATAAATTCACAGCAAAAATCGTAGGAGAAATCGTGGTTATTTTCCAAAGCCAGAACGCTTTTCCGAATCTGCCGGTCGTCGTTCAAGTTTGTGAGCGAAGCTCTCGCGGCAGATGGGACATCGAGTGCTGTAAGAATGAAACGAGGGTTCAAGTGTTAATAAATTGTATCCTTTAGGAAAATTGTGGACCAAAATATCGCGTTCTGTTTGGGAACCCACAATAGAAGTGAATTTATAACTATGAAACATGATTTCGTTCAGCTTATCTGGAAAACAAAATGTGTGAAATATAAATATGATATATAATAACTTTGACAATGTCAGTAATGATGACTTAGGCGGGGGAATATTGTCAGTTCGAAATGATTGGTCTTTTCAGATTACCGAATCATTTTTACTGCTTTCAGCGGGGGAGAACTGTGATTGATTGACTGCGAAAACAACAAATTTCTAAATACAAAATCATCAGGCTGGCTACGCCAATTTTCCTGACCAACCCATCGACTACATTCTAATTATTCTGTCGCCTTTAATTAACATTATACCCGATGAGACGAAACCTATTGGCCTGCGCTCGCCTCCAAAACAATGTTTATTTTACCATAAATGCTTTGTAAAGAAGACACAATATAGGAGAGCACTCTATATTGATTAAGGGATGTGGTGGGGGAGAAGATGTCTGTAATGCTTTGACTGGCAGTGGCGTACGACAGATGATAATTGGGGGGGGGCATATTCATGTTAACAGATCGGTAAAGCTAGGCAATCAATTTGAAAAGAAATTAATCTTGCACAACATGAATATATTTGAATATGTGCACCGAATTATCGTCCCTCGTCCACCACAGTTGACTGGTTAAACTACAAAGTATACTCACATTCCGCTGCGAATCATTTGTGTTGCACATTCTTTGTGGACCTTATGCGAACAGGGGAGAATTTGACACCCTGTGAAGGCATCCTGGAAGAAAAATATTACATTTTCTACCTTTAACAACGTACGATTCAACTATGCAGGGCACAATGCATTTCCTTTTACCTCCAAACAAATGCAGCATTCATCATGAGCAGATCCTGCACGACATCTGTGATTGTCTCGAAGTTGAACATCCAAACAAACACCACAGACATCGCAATGAAAAGAACGATCACCATGAATTCTGAAACACAACATAGAGTGGAGGAGTATGAGTATTTTCTGAAGGTATTTATTGTATTTCCCACAGGCGCATGATCAAGAATTTTAGCTTGTCTAAAATTTAGGTTAGGGTTTTTTTGCAGTTGTTTCTAAGATAAATGAACGACTTACATTGAGCAGGGCCGTAGTTAAACAGGCTAATAAGGTAGGGGTAGCTGTTCACATAATTATTCATGTTTACATAGGAATAATCGCTTACAAAACCTCTTAAACTTAGCCAATAAACTTAGCGGTATAGAAAAGATATGCTGAAAAGGTACTTTGTCAAACTGAATATCTTCTATGTTCCTTAGAGCTGTAATCCGACAATTATAAGGTCTGAGGATTGGATCAAAGTGCGTGATAATTACTAATACAACTGAACGATTTCATTTTTAACTAAAATATACGTTTGAATTGATCGTTCAGTGCTTCCTATGTGTCCTGTTTCTTGTTTAGTCGCCAAAAATGTTCAGGTAAATATATTAGAATACTTTGGTAACCTTCATATATAAACATTGCAAGGCTTATTAATAATAGCTATGCCCAGGAAAGTACTGAAAAACCCTCAAAGCACTCTGAATGTACATCAGTACAAAGCATACCTACAAATTCCACATTTTTCGCAATGATACGGATGTCGTCTTTCCCAGTTAAATGTTTGCACAAACCACAGTAATAGTTTGCAAAATTAGCTCCACACTCGCAGCAAAATTGACCGAACTAAAACAAAAATGAAAAAAATTTTGAAATTTGGAAATCCGTTTGGGGTGGAACCTTCATTAGAAGAGAATTTGAATTACCTGTTGCACTTTATCACAGTATACGCACTTCAACAACTCTGTGTCGCGCGATTTCAACTTTCGTCTGCCGCATGAGCTTTGGTTGTTATGACAACGATGACATGGCCAGAATTTGTCACAACATTCAAATTTTACGTAGCAATGTCTTTTGTAATGGCTGCATAACCAATTATCGTCCTGTAACATTACATTATTCCGAGAAGTGCCAGAGGACTGGACATTTAGGGCTGAATTGGGACGTTGGAATTTCGAAAGTTTTGAGCCATGATCCCTTACAGGTAATGCTGTACGTCTTGTTTCGTTGGTTTCCAAATAATTT